GCTGGAAGGGCGAGGGGGTCGGTTTGTTCCCTTTGGCTGCCTCGCCCCGGCAGCTGTTGGGAGCAGGCAGGGTTCTGAGCAGTTTTTCTGAGCCCCGGTTCTTTGCCCTGTCCTGATGCCCTTCCAGAAAGCAACTTCATTGTTAGCGTGCTGACATACAGGGGTTGGTTTTCTTGTAAGCTGTAAGCACCGTAAGGGATCATAAGGGTCTGGATTTATTTTTGTGTCAAGAGCGGCTGCAGCCATGTGTTGGGTTGGAAGTGCTGTGACTTCTGTCTCTTCAGCCTTTCTGTAAACGTAGCTGCTTGAAAGGGTTCTGGTTTTGTTGAACAAGTGTTTGTTCTTAAAATACAGTGCAGAAAGAAGCGTCTTTCTGCACTAGCAAATTCCTTGTCTCAGTCAACCGTGGTCTCATTTTGTGTTTGGTTTAATATTCTACTGGAACCGGTATCGGCAGTGTAAAAGTTACACACCGTGAATGAGCTTATATACCTTATAAATGAGGTATGCCTATTAAGTCTCATGTTTTAATGGTATTTATGCTCTGCATTTACTTCCTCTTCAATAGTGAAAAGTCAGTGGAGTGTTACTAGAGTCTGGGTTCCAGTTCATAGTGTTGTGTTGTCTCAGTAGGTTTGTTGTTGCCTTCCTTTTAATAAAAGCTTAATTTCAACATGTTTCATCTGACTGCTGCGCTGCTTTTTAACCTTCTGCAATTTTTTGTAATGCATGGTTTTGCTCATAAAGGGAGAACTTTTTACATTGTATGGAGTTGTCAGACTTTCTCAGTGAAGGTCTTGACCCTCTATCCTTATGGCTGCTATAAAGTCACATGAAGTCATTGCCTATGTTTGAATCTCTAATTTTTTTTTTGCTGAGAGTGACATAACATGAGGGGTTTTATGTAGAGGTGTGGTGGTGAGTTACAGGGGCTTGTAATGCTTGGATTTCTGATTCTCTCAGCTTGCTCTGTATTTGTGTGGCTCTGAGAATAATTGGTTTTGTTTCCAAACTGTTTTAATGCGTCCACTGTCAAAACAACTGTGGGAGGGGGCATGCTTGTTTAGCAGCCTTGTAGATGCCAAGGAACAAATACAGATTCCTCCTTTACTTCGAAGAGCAACATACAAGGGATCTGAAGGTTGACCCATGTTAATAGGTCAATGCTGAGATCTTGTTTCTGATCATTTATCTAAAAACTACGCTGATTTGGAGGTGGGTGCCTTTGAAAAACTGTCGTTTTTAAAGCTCGTTGGTAACCATGCCACAGTGTGTATTAGCTACTCACACAGCTACCATTGAACAAACAAGTGATTCAGGGCAGCATTTGTTTGGGAAAGTGATGGTACTGGGATTAACTATGGTAATTGGGATGGGAGGAGCTTGAATTGGGATGCTAGAGGAGTCCTTGTGTG